TGTGTATATATGTATGTATGTATGTATTTATATGTATATGTATATGTGATTTTGTATATATGTAGATATACATTTTTTGTATGTATTCGTAACCTAATATAAATTTCATTGCACCTACCACTATTTACTCTGCACTATCTTTGGTTGACTGGTAGAGAATGCCTTAGGCATTAAGTCCGCAAATGTAAATTTTACATGAAGTGTAATAAATAAATAATTTAGTCAAGTCAATCCATTTTGTTCTATTTTTTCAGGCGAGTAGCGATTAGTTTAGCCACTAAATTACTCGGTACTCGACTAAAATACTCGCCTAGTCCGAACAAGGCTTTAGTCTCACTAAAACTCAAGAACTGCTGGATTTGGCTAATTTTGGTCTTGAATTAATTATCTGTGGAAGTCCAGTAAAGGTTTAATAGGTAGATAAATCAATGAAAATGATCGGAATCAAATAAAAATAACAATTTTGTTTTTCCTTTGATGTGTCCCCCGTCGGACGGATTCCTTTTGTTTGTTTTAAGTTTATTTTATACAAAATTTTATTTTATACAAAAGTTTAGGTCTTTTATTTATCGATTGAGGCACTACGAAGTCTGCCGGGTCAGCTATTCATTAATAAAGATACGGATTCGGACGGAGAACCAAACCTTGATCCCGTAGTCATTAACAATCAGATCAACTAGGCGAGTGCAATGCATCATGATAATCGCCTTATCGTTGCCGCAGCTGACTACTCCCCGAATCCTCATCACGCACGAGCCAGTCACCGTTGACGCCCTAGACACGTCCTACTGATCCACCAGATCCAATAATTTTTGCATTATAGCATTTAGCTCTAACGCTAATAGCAGGCTTATGGACCCCGGTAACCCTACTCGTCGAATTCGGTAAAGAGTTCGACGTGCAACCTAACCCATACAAAAGTCCGCTGAGTTTCTCGCCGGATCTTCTCAACAGGTCGCGATTCCGATCCCATAGTAGATTCATTCGCGAAGCAGTTGCTCTTGAGATGTTAAGTCTTTTTTGGAGGGGCTCGGGCAGCTGTCAGCAAATCCCACCCCTCTGGTTCTGGTGAAACTGGAAAGGCCTTCGGGCCACCAGTAATCCCTCATTCATAAAATAAAAAGAAATTAGGCTAGCGAATATTAATGTTTCTAATGTCGTTAAAGTATTGCAGTTTACCTTGTGTCAATAACAGCGACGCTTATGTAATGAATTGCTTTCAAAGCCCACTCATCAGGTATTTGTTCACTCGATAGATTGACATTGCAGTATTATGGATATCGGAATCTGAAATAGTATTTTATTACGATTAGGTAGATGGGTTACTCGACTCAGCTCAGCTCACCTGCAGGTTACGGGAGCCGATAGACAACCCAACGTGATTTCCGCCACCTACCTTCAGATATGAAGTATACACATTTTGCACTGTGTGGATAACGGTTGTCCCTTTCCGATACCGGTACCGTAAAAGTAGGTACGGTACATACTTTTTTTAGCTTGCTTACAATAGGCCCTATCAACAAAAATTACTTATTAAGATCAGATTGTAACTTGTTTTTTTTTAACTTATATTTTTACTTGTCCGATTGGGTAATATTACTGTTGCATGAATTGATTTTAACAACAGCTAATCATGCAACCTTCAAACAAGCATAGCAGTATATTTACATACATGATCCACAATATCCTGTAGGTACATACGCCGACGGTACGACGTACAAATAAAATATTTAACTGCTATTAGGATATGCTAGTCAAGCATCGGTTGGAATGCAATCCTCTATGATCCTTGTACTATGGGAACCAGAGACGAATTCATACATATGACGGCGTTAACGATATTTATGTTATATAGCACGTGCAATAGGAGTGACTCACACAAGCCAGGCGCGCCGGCCGTGTCGTTCCACTCGTAAACAACAGCTGCAACAGAAGTGACTCATAAGCCAGCTGCGCCGGCTAGTATAAAAAGGCGGAACGTGCCTTGAAATGAACATTCGTTGGACTGCGCTTGCCTGGTGCACTTACTATATTCTTGTTACGTTGTGTGATTCAGTGACTGTTGTACGTACTGGTTAAAGTTGGACAAGTGTTAAAGTGAATTGTTACGATAACATATTGTTGATTAAATCAGGAATCAAAAAGTGACATCGTTTTACTTGGTGTTCAACAAGATAATGTCTACCCTGAAGCTTACACATATATATATATGTTTTTATTTTTTATTGCTTAGATGGATGGACGAGCTCACAGCCCACCTGGTGTTAAGTGGTTACTGGAGCCCATAGACATCTACAATGTAAATGCGCCACCCACCTTGAGTTATAAGTTCTAAGATCTCAGTTTAATTACAACGGCTGCCCTACCCGTGCGGACTCACAAGAGGTCCTACCACCAGTGAATATGTTCTTATATGTAATATGTACTTATAAACGTATATAAGTTCAAATATAGATATGGGCGTCGGGCAAACATTTGTGTAAATTTAATCAATAAAATCGATTCCCAAATCGATTTCACGAGCATCGTCCCCGCTGTCAGGGGCACTAGATACCGCACCACCTGTAAGTGGATGTGACTAGCATTTAAATGTTGATATCTATGATTATCTATTGTCTCCGTATGCCGAGTTTATCAGGTTCTGTATGTAAAAAAATCTGTTTTAATGCACTGTTTTCTTTTGGTAGGAACGGTAAAATATTTTTATCTTTGTTCACAATATTTATATCGTTGCTTTTCAACTCAGTCGCAATTCAATGATAATTTATTTGAAGGCTATTGCTGATTTTATCCTTAGATACATATTCTTCATACAATCACTTCTTTCACCTCAAATTTCTTTATATCTATATAGTTCGGTCCATTCGTTCAATAAAGACTTGACCCAATTGATAAAAGTCTGATAAAATGTATTTTTAGTCATAATTTAGTTTTCTTTATGTTTGAATTGGTTTTTGACATAATTTAATTATGGGTCCTTCAATAAATTGATAAAATTGTTTAATACATTTACTGTCTCACAAGTTGTCGCAGATTTACGAAGTTTTTGGTATCATTTAATTTTGAAATGTATATGTCTTCTAATCTATCGCATTTGTGTTCTTAATGTTGGCTGGTTAATGTTTGTCCTCAACATTAACCGTCGTTATCCCCTTTCTAATATCGACGACCGTCGCAGGAAAAAAATGAACATAAAAAAGAGCGAATAATCACTCCGCGACAAAAATGCTTGGGGCAGCTTTGATTCGCTGGTACGTGTATCCGACGATGCGGCTATCGTTCAGTTTTTAGGCCTAGTTGATTGTTCGAGAATCTTGCCCTTTCTAGCTGAGGCTTTGAGTTTTGGCTACCAATCCTCACGAAGCTGGAAAGGCCTTATTGCACCACCTCTATCTTTCCCAAAAAAAACAAACAAAGGGCACACGTCGTGGTGGACTTAAAAAGTTAAATTCACCTTTAACCCACAAGTAAAATTAAATAAATGTAGATGATTAAAATCCACCTGTGAGAGCGCGTAGCAAAAAATGTTTCACGTACAAAAACCTAAAAAATATGTATAACATATCAAACAGTAGACCAATGTTTTATTGTGTTAATATTCGGCTAATTACATAAATTATTTATTACGGGAGCGAAATTTTTAGTTATTTAATATTACAATATCTCATATCAAAATAAATTGAAAAACATTTGGTGAGAAATTTTATTGCAGACATGAATAGAATCCAATACAAACACAGTATTGCATGTCGAATTGTTTACATGAACGAATGTGATACCGGCGTCGAATGTCTGAATCAATCAGGTCTAGATATTGTGTAAATATTTTGATTTTGACCCATTCTATGATATATCAACACCGATTGTAAAATCAAATACGTTATTTAAGTGCACCGATAATGCTTATTAATTTATTTGATCGAGAGCTCTCAATTCGCTCTACGAGTAATCTACACTTTAAACATTCGTTAGAAATAAATGACATTACATACATACAACATATTAGCCCAAGAGCCCGTGGGCTCTACCTATATGTATTTGACCAGACCTGAATTTTCGTACATTGAGACCCCTATACCTACCATGCATGAGGTGGGGACTCACTAAGCTCAAAGTGGTCGACGCGCCGAGCGCTCAGGTAGGACAGGTACCGATTTTGACGGATTTTAAATCCATTTGACCACGTCTGCCGTTTTGAAATTTTGAATGCTAAAAAAATTAAATTTTGAAAGTAATTGACCAGATCTGCCATTGATATAATAATATGTTGTTTATTATAGTCTTAAAAACTTATATTGATCACGGCAGACCTCTACATTGCGTACACACATCAACATATAATAAAATCTTAGCTACTACCCGGCCAGATGTGTAGTTACTTTAGGATAACGATTAATTTTACCCGCAACTTCATTTACGTAGAAGGTGAAAATATTTTTGTATAATAGAATGTTAAGGAGCTATTTAAGGTACCAAATCACGACTTCAAAGTTTTTAAGCGACTTCAAAAGAGGAGGTTATCAATTCGACCACCATTTTTTTATCTATGCATATACGCTTATGTAGCCTATACCCTTCCTCAAGAAATGGGCAATTTTTATTTATTTATTTTTTATTGCTTAGATGTGTGGACGAGCTTACAGCCTACCTGATGTTAAGTGGTTACTGGAGCCCATAGACATCCACAACGTAAATGCGCCACACACCTTGAGATATAAGTTCTAAGGTCTCAGTATAGTTACAACGGCTACCCCACCCTTCAAACCGAAACGCTTTATTGCTTCACGGCAGAAATAGGCGGAGTGGTGGTACCTACCCGTGTGGACTCACAAGAGGTCCTACCACCAGTAAGCTCACAAGAGGTCCTACCACCAGGTTTATCTAGCACTGGACGAATTTTTCAAATCAGACCAGTAGTTCCTGAGATTAGCGCGTTCAACCAAACAAACAAACTCTTCAGCTTTATAATATTAGTACATATATAATCATTTCTGTTACAGACGACTAACAGAACGTGTCAACGAGCTCCTACACACAGAAAACGTGTACGTGGAGAGGTTACGACACGTCGTAGAGGACTACATACCTGTCATGGAGAATCAGGACTTAGCGCCGTCATTCAAAGGCTTGAAGCCAAACATATTCGGGAACATTGAGAGAATATTCCGGTTTCACTCGGAGGAGTTCCTGCCCGCGTTGCGGGACTGCGAGAATGATCTCAGGAAGCTAGGGCAGTGCTTTAGACGATTTGTGAGTAAGAGTTTTCATTTGAACATTGATTCCTACAGATAAATGATTTGATATGATATTTTAACAATATCCATCTATCTCGTTTATAGTTGCTGTACCGCACTAATCTATACTCTATACTAATATCTTAGACTAATATATAAATCTACAGTGGTTTTTACGGATATTCCGTTATAACTACTGAACCAAACATCCGATTGACTTGAAACTTGGTATCCATGTAAAAACACATGTACTTAATGGATAGGCTAATATTTATATGAGTGTTGGACTTCCTACACCAATTGCGGGGGCGTTAATGATGAGAATCTTTGTGGGGGTGAGAAATAATAATGTTAATTTTAAAAGCCTAGCGAACAGGCGGATACAGCTAGTGTCTTCTATCATTAATAACTACTTTTTAAATATTGTTGAATCAGCTACACGAATCATCTCTTTAGTCGTTCCAATGATCAAATCTAACTCAATATCATTATTGGTAATCAGGCTGTAGCTTCTTGTTTTGTTCAAATAAGGCAATTTATAGTTAAGAACTAAGTTACGAAACAAAGAAAAAGAAAATTCATTGGTTCAGAAAATTAACCGTTGTTTATAATTAGCTACAAGTGAGTCGACTATTATCAAAGCCGGCAATGTGACTTTTGGACAATTATTGGTAAATCAGAAAAACGAATTATTGACTTTGTATTCCATTGGCAGTCGCAAAACTCTTCTGAACGACATCTTAGATAAATAACAGGTTAAGTATTAACCTTTATTTAATGCAGCTTTTGAACCGTATTCTTTGAAGGAGACGATTATATTCAAATCAATCTGTATTGACATATCAATAACATTTTTTTGTTCAAATGCACAGATTGCCACCTTTGATAATAGACGACTCAAGTATTGAACATACAACACAGCAACGGTTACAGCGTAATGATTAAAAAACTTATTTGTGTCATGGACTTACAGAGCGCGTGGTTCTATGGTCTGGTACTATTCTCCATATTACGTAATTAGATCGTCTTTCCCTGCTATAGTGATTCATCGATATCGAAAAATCGGTACGGGGAAACTTGAACAAATTGCAGATCCAAGTGGATTGGACGTGTTATATCTTATTTGTTAGTAACGCACGATTTTTCGTTGAGCTTAGAGTTGACGCCAAGTTGTCCTCGCATTGAGCAGTTTCTTTCCACTTGATTGAAACCGGAGAAAGTATAGACATTCCACAATTTTTTTTTTCTTTTTTTATTGCCCTTGTAGACAGACGAGCATACGGCCCACCTGATGGTGAGTAGTTATCGTCGCCAATGGACTTCAGCAATGCCAGGGGCACAGCCAAGCTGCTGCCTACCGCTATAAATAATAATATATAAATAATAAATAATAACAGGGGCATGTCAGCCAAGCCGCTGTCTACCGCTATAAATAAATAATAATATAATAATAATAATAATATAAATAATATAACAATATTGGGACAATAGAGCTACCCTCATCAGGAACAGTCTGTGGTTATTGCACGCGATACTCGAACAAAATCAGAATTTATACAAAACAATGAAAATAAATGGTAATTGCATTATGTAATATTTCTGTTCGCAGGAAAAAAGGTTCAATATGTACGTAATGTACTCTAGAAATAATAAGAGAGCCACGAGACTGGTGTTTGAGCATAAACAATTCTTTCAGGTGAGCTGTTTCAATTTTTATTTATGAATATCCTTACAATTATGACCTAAAATTAATTTACCAACTTCATATCAATTATTTATGCGTACGTTATTCTACTGTTTTAATTATAGTTCGGATGATTGTTTTGGGAGCGTTATTAAGCGTTTGAATGAAACCTTTTTATTTTATTAACTTGTTAGAACTATAATGTAACCCTAACCGCTACATTAAGTTAGATAATCTAATTATTAGTGTCTAGTCTTGAACCAAAATTCTTATTATTATTATTATTTTTTTATTGCTTAGATGGGTGGACGAGCACACAGCCCACCTGATGCCAAGTGGCCACTGGAGCCCATAGACATCCACAACGTAAATGCGCCACCCACCTTTGAGATACAAGTTCTCAGGTCTCAAGTATAGTAACGACGGCTGCCCCACCCTTCAAACCGAAACGCATCACTGCTTCACGGCAGAAATAGGCAGGGTGGTGGTACCCACCCGCGCGGACTCACAAGAGGTCCTACCACCAGCAACGGTTTTTATGGTAATTAGGTTTAATAAACACATTTGTTTAATAGTTTTATTTAATAGATACATTCACTATTCGCTAGTTAGACGATGCTCTATTTACAATAATGAATTTTCTTAAATAATTAAGAATAAATATATTAGTGAAATAATTGAGGCAGACTAAATTACAGTGAGAGTAAATTAGAATGGTTGTATTAACATGCGTCCACATGTATCATGGATACGCGTCCGATGTTATTACCTCATTGCCAGTGCGAATTTACTGTTTGTAAAATACTGTTCACCTAACTGTTTATTTTACGGTTACTTTAGAAATTAATATGTAAATTTCACGAAGCTAATAAATAAAACTAGAGGTCCCGCAGTAGTCGAAATTCGACTATAATTAATTGGAATTGTAAGTTTGTACACTATTACGATTGTATTTTATACTTCTATAATCACAAATTTCGCCAAGATTACACTATAAAAAATATTAACAAAGACAAACAATATTTAATCTATTCTCAATTTGAGAACAGACGTCAAGAACAAAAGTTTGACAATAAACAGTATGCATGCGTGTGTGCGTAAAATACATGGTATGTAGTGTGTGTAATGTTTTCTTTATTGATTTAATGTATCTTTTATGCATTATTTTAAAAAAAATATTAGCATTGTGCATTTCTTCTCTATATTCTCTATAAGTGTGGAAAATTTCATACTCCTCCGTCCGCGCAATTTTCGTAAAAAGGCATACAAAGTTTTTGCTTCACGTATTAATATATAGATAGGATTAGTTTTGAAAAACTCTCGGACTTGGATTATTATGAACATGTTACTTGTAATTTTAATGGTTCTTGGGTCCTTACTTAAATAGCTTCAGGGATGTGTACAATTTTGTGAAATGTGAAAATTTTAATGAGCCCATACTGGTTAGGTATTCCAATATTAGATGTAAGTGTTCTAAAGTATTTGTTTCGTACAAAGTGAAAGTTGAATTTTATAATCACGCACTATTTATTTTTAACAAACATTCAGTCTAGTTATTCGAATGTGATTCTCCCCGAGCCAAACCCACTTCGATCCAGATCACATATCATTCGACCCAAATTACGTATGAAAGCTGGTGAAAGGCTATAAAATTGATATGTATCGTATCCTATACGAGATACGGAATAACATTCACATTCATGGTAATCTATCGATGCGATTTTGTGGCCACAAAATGATGATAATGAAACTCACAATCAGACATAATGGGTATTATTGTGGTAACGATCTTGTGCGGAATTTATTTCATAGATTTTGGCTTGCCATATTATAGTTTTTAAAGAGAATAATCAAAGAACTCCGCGGTATACAAAACATAATTTCAAGGAAGCTTTTTAATGATCTGTATGCTGTACACTTCACAGGGAACATATTTTCCAAATTCCCAAACAATATTGAAAAGTTTGAAAAAAAATATTGATGACCCTAAGTAGACTTATTGAAATCATACTTGGTTCACAGGAAAGACAATTCGAATTGGGTGACAGATTAGACTTGTCAAGCTATTTACTAGAACCAGTCCAGAGACTTCCGAGGTACAAACTATTTTTAGCCGATCTAGTGAAGACGTACACGAATTATGAGAACGAAAGATGCGAATCAGATTCAAGGATATCAAAACTTAGCGTTGACAGCGACGAAACCGGAGGAAGCAACGGAGACGTATCGGAAAACGACGAAACCCCTTTGGAAAGTCTAAAGAAAGCTAAAACTATGATAGAACGCGTGCTGACAGCTGTTGATGAAATAATGGCGTTAGAAAACATAACCGACTGTCCGGTAAGTGAAAACTACTCACATTATTGCGTCATTAGGAAATGGACATGGTTTTTTATTCATCTACATCTGAATTTAGTTCGTTTTATTATTTCTTTGTACATTAGTAATTAATAGCATATAACTTTCACAATGAACATTCCATGATGTGTATTTAAATTGAAGATTCAGAGGCAAGTTTGCATTTCATTTTGGTTAGGAAATTCTCTATATCTGTCACTGATATCAAAAACGTTAGTTTATCTTGAGACAATAGCACGATAACTATTTTTATGAACCCGGTTGAACTGAGTGAATGTAGTACTTTCTATTACTTGTTACAGTTGAGGTATTATACTCGTAAATATAAATGATCCACGTTATAGATTACACAATGATAATATTCTATTAACACAGTCTTATCTTTATCATTTGGAATATACATTTCATAGATAAGAAGGCCATTAAAGCTTGTATATTTGTTTGAGTTTGCGAAGGTCGTGCCAATTTTGATTAATTTAAATATATATGTTATAAAGTACATAATTAAAGGCGTTTGTTGATCGTTTATGTTTTAAAACATCCGATTTGGGTGAAATCGTGGAAAAATCGAAGGCGGTAAAAGGATAAGACGCCGTGTGTATTTGTATTGCTATGTCTGTGTCTATGCCGGAGTACAAATTCCGTAGGGATATACCAATTTTTCTGAGGCAATACATAATATGTTATATACTTAGCGCGTGTTCACGAATGGTTCTCACGATGAAAGAATAACATCGTGAAACAAAACTCAAACACGCAAAATTCATAAATTTGCGTTATTACTGGTTTGGACCTGTAGGTATAGAGGATACCTAATAAGGTATTAATAAAATTTAGACATCGCCAAAATATTCATAGATTCTAAATTGTCGACTGGAAAAGATTTAAAATGTAATGTAATTACTTTACGATTAAACTTGTTTTTAATTCTTACATGGAAGGTACCTACTCATTAAATTTGTTTTTGGGACCTAAAACTATTTGACTTTTCCTTGGTTTAACTGATCCTCATCATTCCGTTTTTTCATGTGATAGCCGCATTAATAGCAGTGAGTAACTGAAAAAAAAAAAGAAATTTAGATACTTGATTTTACTTATCACCTGATATGCTGTTATGAGTTCAATAATAGATCGATTGGTATTTTTGTAGCATTACCTAAACCTTCTGAACCAAGGTCGACTGCTTCGTCAGAACGAGTTCTACGCTATGGACACGGCTCGGCGCTGGCGACAGCTCATGAGGATATTCCTCTTTGACAAACTCGTTCTCATCACTGCTGTCTATAGGAAGGTACGTTAATTTATTTTATCAACACATCATATACGCCATATGACAAATGTTTTTGAGCAGGCAAAAATAATTAGTAGCACGTATGTTCTCCCGAAACGTGCTCTATTTTTAAAGACTCTAGCCTAGCTCTAGACTTCAAAAAAGGAGGAGGTTCTCAATTCGACTGTTTGTATTTTTTTTTATGTTTGCTACCTCTATAACTTTTGACTGGGTGAATCGATTTTGATGATTCTTTTTTTATTAGAAAGCTGACGCTTCCCGTGTGGTCCCATTTCGATTTAGTCCAGTTCTGATAATGGTATCCATGAGAAAACCATATAAGTCTTAAATTTGCATTAAGTACGTGCGCGACAAATAGCTGAATAACACAATATCACGTCAACCGATTTCGATGATTATGGTTTTTAGTGTATATTAATTTGTTTTGGAATATCTTTTTTTTTCTATTTGAAGTCGGTTTTTGTTAAAGCATGTTTATTATTTACAATTATGTTAAAGAATATTCATACTAGAAAGATAACATAATATGAAAATTTACTAGACGATTAATCAATTGAACGAGACAATGCTGGGATAGATCAAAGTGCAGGGTTATTATATGTATTACTAGCGACCGGCCCTCGCTTCGCTTCGGAAACATTAAATTTTAGTTGAGTCCGTCGATGTTACCCGCGGTTATTTTCGTACCGCGGGTGACGCCGCGGTGCGAAGCTAGTCTAAAAAAAGTAGCCTAAGTTACTCCTTATATCATCAGCTACCTGTCAGTGAAAGTCCCGTCAAAATCGTTCCAAAGATTAGCCGGAAAAAACAGACAGACAGACAGACAAAAATTGTAAAAAATGTTATTTTGGTGTATGTAACGTATATATATATATATTCATATTCATGTAGTAAAAAGCAGTTATTTCAATATTACAAACAGATACTGCAATTTTATTTATATGTATAGATAAAAAGGTATATATCTATCGCGCGTTCACTAATAAACCCACAATGAAGGAATATTGTCGTGCGATGTAAATCAATCGCTACGAACGTGAATACTGGTACAATGACCTACTTGATTTACTTGAAGAACTCGTTGAAGAGTTTGAACTGATGCTTAGCCTCTAACATCAATCATTTGAGTTTCTCGCCAGATCTAATCCGCGGGTAGCGATTCCGATAAGGTAGTAGATGCACTCGCAAAATAGCTGTTTTTTTTTATTGCCCTTGTAGGCAGTCGGACATACGGCCCACCTGATGGTGAGTGGTTACCGTCGCCCATGGACTTCAGCAATGCCAGGGGCAGAGCCAAGCCGCTGCCTACCGTTAAGGCCCTCTACTGTTAGGACTTCTCAGATTCGGGTGTTTTTTAGTAAACCCCACTCCCAACAGTCTATCACCAGTCTCTCCTACCATCCCAAAGCTATAATACAGCTTATTGTTGGCGCGAAACAGTCAAACACTCCAGTAACAATGGGTTCCACTAACAACCCAACACCAGATGGGCTGTGAGCTTGTCTGCTCGTCTATAGCTGTAATAGTTTTCCTAACGGCATTTATATCGATAGTTTTGAGAACTTTAGTTTTGAGCTTTAGATTTCATTGCAGGGAGACCGTCATATAACGACAGAAAACTTTAGTTCTCGAACAGTAGTTTCATAACAATATAGGTAACGACTGTTCTTTTCTTTTAACCGCGATAAAATTTGTTTTTACGTTTCAATTTGTTTTCATCGTCAAAATTTATTGTTGTTCCGAAGTTTTGTTTGTTTTTATTTCATTAAATAAAAAAAAAAAAACATTGTTATTTACAAAGCTCCCGAATAGTTATTCAATGACTCACATGTTGATAACAATAAAATGGTTAGTTTTAATATTTATGCACAATTGGAGCCGACATGGTCGGGCATGATAAGAGTCTATTGTCGTATGAACGTTTATATTGTAAATTTTATATGTAGTTATGACCATTAGAATGTTATTTCCCTAAAAAAAAAAAATATGAAGGGGGAAATCCTTGTTTAAATATAATGTTTTTTTTTAATTCGAATTATAAATTATCTAGAAACGGATGAGATAGTGCGATCGGGCATATGTAAATTCAACGAATATAATATCATATTATGAGCAATCATTTGGATTAAGCAATAGTTATTGTGTCGGATTTCGATGGTTTTTTTTATCAAGTAACGGGTATTTATTGGTGGTCGGTCGCATCGTGAAGTTCTGTATATTACTGCCGCGAAGTAATAAGCCATGCCCACTGAGTTTCTCGCCCGGTCTTCTCAGTGGGTCGCGTTTCCGATCCGGTGGTAGATTCAGCGTAGCACTGCTCTTGCTAGGGTCAGTGTTAGCATCAATCCGGTTTGAGCCCCGTGAGCGCACCTACTAGTTAAGGTTACGCTGAAATAGCCTCTCAAGGCTATCAGCTTCGGTAGGAAGACAAAATAAGCCATTGCTTGGGGGTGGTGACAGCCGTTTCTGCCTAGGCATGGACACCTCGTATGAGGTAAGGGCCGGCCCGAAAAAATAGTAATTGAAACAAGGCGGGTGGCAATATTCACGTGATTTCTATGGAGTTCGTTTACCTTTTATTACCTTAAGATCGGGCAGCTCCGAAATCTGCCAAAAATCTACCACACTGTTCCTGTTCACACCGATGCAATTCATCATTCTAATTTGCGTAGGATTTTCTTTATACAGATCATTTGTAATTGTGACGTCAGCATTTTTATGACGTCTATAAACTCCGGTAGCTGCAAGAGGGCCTTAGTTGAAAAGTATAACAAAAAAAAATTTATCAAAAAGTTTCATAGCAATAGAAATTACTTAATTGGCATTTACTCTTTATCTCTGATAGAAATGGTGTTTAGTAACGACATGCACTTCATGGTTCATTTGAAATAGCAGATATGACACAATGAAACATTTAACTGCGATGTCGCGCCACTGCGGCGGCGGCGCGTCGTCGATAGGATGATGACGATTCATATCCTGCGTGCTGTGTGTATTGTTTAAAACAGCCTAGTTACATATAATATGACGTAATAGATTATAGGAATGCTCAATGAATGTCTAAAAAAAATATTCCGTAAATGTTCAGACGAGATCAATGTACACATGGCACTCAGTGGTAGCTCATGCAAAAACATTGTGACTGTCGCCATCAAACTTAAGACATGAGTTCTTAATAGCACTGTAATAAAGTTCACTCTGTACGCAGTTCAGAAAACAAACAATCATTGCTTCGCGCCGGAAATAAGTCGAATTGTGGTAAATAGATTCACAATGTACTCTGCCACCAATAATTTAAACGTTCAATCGAATTTGTTTGTATTTTGTTTCACGACACAGCTCGTCTTTGAGTTCTTGAGATCACGGGATGATTAAAATATACGAGCGAGATGATGACCGAGCTTTGCTTTTTTTTTTTTTTATAACGCCATCTTGTGTCTTTAAAGCGGCTAGTTGCCCTCAATTAAGAAAAATAGTATTATTATTCGCCAATAGATGTCGGGAAGAGTTGATTATTGAAAACACCAATAAAACAACATTTTCTGAAAATAAATCGTAGCTAGATCGATTTATCGCCCTCGAAATCCCCTGTATACTAAATTTTATGAAAATCGTTGTAGTCGTTTCCGAGATTCAGATTATATATATTTATATACAAGAATTGCTCGTTTAAAGGTATAAGATTCGGCAGTTTAATAAGGCAATAGGTGAAATAAAACAATTTTAAAAGAAAAAAAAACATTACCCTCTGAAGCTTATTTGGTCGAACGGGGAAATCACAACTGGTTTAATCAGAGAACGGAGGCAACTAAGTCGTGCTTATCTTAGCAACTCACGTTTTTCTTAGAATTACCTAAACGAAGGATCCTCCTTTGCTCTAGTAGCGTTAGTTTGTCTTAAGTATTAGCAAAGACTTCTTGGGTTCTAGTAACAGTTGCTACAGATAAGTTTCCATTGTTTGAACAAATTCTAGTCGTTCTAAGAATGCCTTTTCTAGGTTTGTCAATAGCATACCGATACTTGGTAATTGGATAAATAGTTGAGTTACAGATTTTTTTATTTAGACAGATGAACAAATTCACGGTCCACCTGTTGCTAAGTGACTGGTATTAAAGACGTAAATGCTCCCACTTGCCTTGAGATATGAGTTCTAAGTCTCAGTTCTATGGTACAATGGCTGCTCCATCCTTCAAACTAGAACTCCTTATTGCTGTTATGGTAACAAATAGACCAATGTGAGAGCAAATAGATAGAATTTCTCGAACATTCAGCGGTATCTTTAAGTGTAATTTTCACGGGTTCCTCAAATGAATGTTGATACACAGTTTGACCGTGGTGATCAATAGGTAAGCCGCATCTAGGGTTGACATCTTAAGCGACAGGACCAGTTTCAGAAAGGCCGCATTATATCGCGTGAATGAGACGTATCCAACATGAGCCTACAATAATCACATAAAAGTTGATTACTCGTTTATATTTTTTTCAACTTCGATTTTTTTTTCAATTTCGAATTCCTTAAATCCGGTCAACCCAACAGTACCAAAAATTCGGTTGAACTGTTTTCGATAGAATTAACTTGAGATAATAATATGCTATTTAGATATGAAGTTATGATTCCAATCGATCACATACAATCTCGTCTCACTAATCCCAATTTTAGGCACAGGTAATTCTGGTCAACGATAAGTCTGTTTTATATTATGTCCACGTCTCACGTGACTTGTGTTAGAAATTTTCCCATTTGTTTTTGATAAAATTTTAAGAAACTATATTTGGATCTGTAATTTGAATAGGAAAACCGATGTAGGAAGTGCTGTTAAGTTAATTCAAGTAATAAGGCGAACATGCTTTTCCGACTATAAGAATGTAGAACAAAGCAATGACCGGCATGCGCGGCACACAAATTCTTCAAATGACTGGGTAGAAATATTACAATATAATTTGAGATGCTCTGACCAGTGGAGCAGATGCCCTTAAAGTTTGCCGAAATCTTAATACTTAATGTAACATGATCGGTTAACTTCTCACCAAGGACAACATTTTTAGAACATTCACATTTATTTTCTGTTTTATGATGTTTAAATAGATTCCTGTGTATATATTTGCATCGTGCTGTTGGACATGTGACTGTCGATTACAGCTATAAGCGAATTCAGGCTACTCAGATCACGTATTAAATACGCGTGTTCATTAAGTCTATGTTGACAAGTGAGTCGTCTATTATCAAAGGTGGCAATCTGTGTATTTGGACAAAAAAATGTTATTGATATGTCAATACAGATTGATTTGAATATAATCGTCTCCTTCAAAGAATACGGTTCAAAACCTGCATTAAATAAAGGTTTATACTTAACCTGTTATTTATCTATGATGTCGTTCAGAAGAGTTTTGTGACTGCCAAAGTCAATAATTCGTTTTTCTGATTTACCAATAATTGTCCAAAAGTCACATTGCCGGCTTTGATAATAGTCGACTCAAGTGCACTTATCGGAAATCACGCATGTATCAATTTATGGCGAGAAACGTGTCATTAACCTCTGAACGTCTTTTAGATATTGAAATTATTTAATGATATTGTATCCATCTACTATTTGACAAATTATAAAAGTAAAGAACAGAAATATAAATCAAACAATATTGAAAAACAAAAATTACACATGCTAGTCTTAATTTAAATACATAATATGATTCTTGAAACTCTGAGCTTTAGATAGATAGATTACAACAGTAGATATCATATTCGTTTTAGAGGTTTAATTTTTTCTTTTTTTTTCAACAATCACGCCACGTTAACTGGTCCCGTGATAAGTTCGTAAAGAACTTGTGTTACAGGTACCAGATATCGGAAATAAATGTAAGATTTTTATTATACACGTACATATATTTAATATACATCCATAACCCTAGAAAAGACATTTATATTTATCACACAAATATCTTCCCTTGGCGGGATTCGAACCCGCGACCCCCTAGTGTAGTGACCATGTCACTTACCACTACACCGGACGGACGTTTAAAAATGTTTAAAAATGTTTCGAGATTGGCGTAATTTTTATTCATTATTCAACGTTCCTACTAAACACATGAAACTTATTTCGTAAATACAATGCAATCTCGAACTTGTTTTTTTGTGAATATGAAAATAGTTTAGTTCAGTACATAACCTTGAATAGAACAATATCTCGAATCTCTTATACCATTGTTACGAATTTTCTTTATACATTGAGAATTAAATGTTACTGGAAAAGCCAAGGCCATAAATCTGTTTGACTTACATCTAAAGTACACGAAGTGGCTTATCAAAATTTATTACTTCTGTACTATATAATAAATGCACATTTATGTTTATCTATTAATTTGGTTAAAATAACACGTTTTATTATTTATTCACCACACGATGCTTATTTTTGTACTCTGATTATCATTATCACACAATAAACAAATAACGCTTTTATAAAAAATATATATTACAAGAAATCTTTTAAACCAAGTTAAAAATATCATTACGAAGTGTTTTTGAATACAAAGGCGAGTTAAATGACCTTGCGAATGCCGTGATACGACAATTATCACGCATCGCAGACTTCAGCTGTTTGAGGGCGCGGGATTAAAAATATTATGTCAGACAGACAGATCATGTTATACAAATTTTATATTAACAGGGTACGAAATTGTAACCTCATTCAAAGCGATTCATCGAAACAATTTATAGTAGGATTTTGAAAACGAGGCCGGCGGGCGTTCATAATATCTGTATTAGTTATATAAAAAAAAATTTTTTTTTGCTTAGATTGCTTATATAGTTGGACGAGCTCACAGCCTACCTGGTGTTAAGTGGTTACTGGAGTCCATAGACATCTACAACGTAAATGCGCCACCCACCTTAGACATAAGTTTTAAAGTCTCAGGTATAGTTACAACGGCTGCTCAACCCTTGAAACCGAAACGCATTACTGCTTCACGGCAGAAATAAGCAGGGCGGTGGTACCTACCCGCGCGGACTCTGAAGAGGTCCTACCACCAGTAAATTATATTAATCGTAGATGATTTTTTTTGGTTGCCCACCGGAATTAAGCCAGAATCAGTACATTAATAGTTTAATTTTCCGTTGCAGCAACAAAGGGTAGAGTACTTCATATACAAAGATCACATCTCAGTGGACGACCTCGGTATCACGGCCAAGGAACACGACCGGCACAAATTCACCATTTGGTATAAGAAGAGAAACCTGAAGTCCTATAAGCTGGAGACGAATGATCCAGTCATCAGGAATTCTTGGGTCCAAGATATAACATCACTACTGTGGGAACAGGCTATGCAAAAGAAAGGTGAGTTTGAATTTTTCGTTAAATCAGACGATGATTTTTTCATTAATTTTGGAGACTACTTCAAAATTTAGTAGATTGAAAAACTCACAATAAGTTTTTTAATCTGATAGTACGTAAAAGGAAAATTTTTGATTTTTTAAAAGAGGAAACATAAACAAAATGAGATAAAGTTTAATACAGATATCATACATTCGATAATATATCTAAAAGCGATTTCTCAATCATTTTTCTCAATATTTTGCAAACGAAAAATTGATTATCTTTGTGCACTCTTAATACAATAAGTACACATTATACATGAATAAATGAATTCTGATTATTGAGTATTTAATGAATTTATATGAATCGATGTCATTAATTATGGTATGTACACGAATAATACCGTGCTTTTGTCATAGTAATTGAAAAGTACAAAAAGCTTTGGTATTATTTTAGTTACCTTTTTTTTTAATTATTTTGAGAGCCATACACCTGTTAGGTTAAGTAGGCTTGTTACATATTTTAAATAGAGAATTTATATGGAGAATGAGTTCGAATTTATAACATCACAATTGAATTTTAGGTTGCGTCAACAAATGCATTCAGTAGTAAACATTGTCGGGATAATGGGATATTATACTCTACTGTGACAAAGCTGTTGTAATCCAGGCCAGAGTCCGCTATTAGGACAAATCTGAAAACAAATTCAAATCATTTTATATTTGACCAATAAAACCTAAAAAAAAATTAATGCTAATAAAACTTTTTTTTACCAGTGTACATGCGCGAAATTTCACCTGCGGCTATATTCAGACTCTCCAAGTTGCGTCGGTCGTATTGTAATGAGTGATTTAGTGGGCAACTTCATTTCTGTTAATTTTGTGTCACGGTGCGCGCGCATCGTAAAATTTCACTCTCATCAATTTTTCATAACGCACCTAAAGACGTATAACTTCAAAAACACTCAGAATCTCGGTTCTCTGAGGTTTTCAACGAGGAACCTTCAGTCGAATTAACATTAAAGCATTAGACGAACATCAAAGACACGCCAGCTTAATATCCATTTATTGTGAAGTTCCAAACTCTGGCGTTATCTTTCACTCAAAGAAATTCGTCGGGTCCATCTGGCACGCAGGCCGTACTGCTAACTAATTCCCGCATAGTTAATGCGAACAAACTTTTTAATTGATCGTCATCTGCTCTCCGTGTTTATACGTGACGAAGGAAATGACGGTCTTTGTCGTTTGATGACGCACTCTGGGGTCGACGACACGGACTTTTTTTATTGGACGGTAACACTTGCATGTGCAACGAGAACGATCTGTGGGAACTGTGATGGATTGTAAATTTGTTTTAACTGTCACTGGCATTAAAAATACGTTGTTGGCGTTTTGTGACGTCACTCAACCAGCAGCAGCAATAGAAAACAAGCTAATAAAATACTACGGCAATTTCGCGCGCGTGTTATGATTTTATCTATGTATTTCTTGTTGTCGTCGTCGGAGTAAGCCCTATTATCTCGTCTCAACGACCTTCTTTCGGATTATTAGATAGGCACGCAAGGGAATCCAACGTCGAAAGTGCGATCGTTTTGAAATCGTGACGTTACGGCGCCATACTCCTCGCGGAGATAACACCGATAAGAGTAAAATGGTGTTTAAATCTTACTGAAAACTCGTTTCATTGTTACCTAATGGTGTTTAGCGATGATTGCTGTTCCCCTTGTATTAGTACTAATGTACAATAGGCTTTTGTCTATCGCAAAATACCATTATACTTCGTCGTGGTTTATGTCTGACTCACTCGTAGGTAATTGTGATCGAGACTTATGAATTGTTATTTTGTTCATTAAATACTCGTAGTTTAACTCAGATTCATTCAAACTCGAAGTCATTTTAAATTGAATCATTTTGATTGATATAACGGATTTATTTTCCTTTTATTTTTATTTCAAGGTAAATGTGCGATTTATATTTGAATCAGTCAAACACACATACATACTTATTAGCCTATATAATAATATTATTATTATGTTATATTATAATCATATAATATTTGTTAGTGGAATTGTCACTTGATAACACCATACATGGAAAATAATATTATATGTAGCTTAAAAACTAAAAAGCACACTTAAATAGCAACTAACTAAAAATTATATTTATTTTTGTTTATCCTGTTGATACTGGTCAAGAAAATAGAGCGAAGCTATAAAATTATCACTGTCATAGTTTTTTAATACGCTTTTTTTATTATTAGCTTCAGACGTATGTATATTTATAACGGAATCTTTGAACATGATTTTGACCCCCTTCAAAACGTCGGATTAACTCGAAATTTGGTATACTTATTAAGGACCGATGATAATACAATATTAAATAAAAAATTGAATAAAATTGAAATTCAACTAAAAAATGAAAAAATAATAATATTTAAAAAAAATCTAACAAAATACGCTTTTATAGAAAATCCAACTAAAAAATAGAAAATAAATTTAAAAAAATTGGATTTAAAAATAGTGTAAGAAAAAATGATTTTATTGTAAAAAAACCGTAGGGTGCATGGTATCAGTAGTTATAAATATTTTATGAACAGATATGAGTAGAAGGTTAGTTTTTTTAAACTATTATTTATTTTTTTATCCATAGTCGAATGACTTGAAGGCGTTGAAAATGACGTTCATAGATTCCGTTATATACAAACAGACATACGAAACTAATAAAAACATATTATAAACAGCAAATTTATAAACAAACAGATTATTGTGAACGGACTCTTTAAAACAATATACCGAGGGGTGAAAGCTAATTGGTTAAAGCGACATTTGCAACTTTACAGGAGAGCCATTACCTAAGATTTGGAAATAAAATCATATCAAAAAATCAAATCAAAACTTCTTTAGCTATTTCAATGGAATAAACTTTATTCAAGTTTAATTAAAACATCGAAAGCTAATACCAAATAAAACTCACCTTTAATTACAAAGATAAATCGCCTTTTCGCATTAAAAGTGACAATTTCCAAAAATATTCGAAATTGAGTTAATATGCGTAAACATTTGGTATCACCAGAGTTTTTCTCATAAATACTGTCAACAGAGCGTAGTTTAGTTTTAGTTTATTTATTTAGTCTACCTATGTTTTGACTTAACAAAATTAATACATAATTTTATCTTACTTTAAAAGACAGATAATGTAACTGGTAAAAAAATAAATGTTACAAAGATGATTAATATTAAAAATATTACATGTTAAACCTTTAAAATCCTCTCCTGTAAAATTAGTAAGTTGTGAGATTATACAGTTTTAATGCGAGAAGACGAAATGTCGCGTATTTAGCGCAATGTCGTTTATCCAAATAACCTTGCACCCCCTTGATATTATTATGACTTTTAATTAATAAGTTTCTACGACTATAATGTTTATTGGTTCTATTAGTTAGTTTATGTGTTGCTCATAACAAAGAAACGATATTTAAATTCTTTGTTATTGTAACTTTGTAACATAATTCTAAATTTGAATCACCCCTAATACTTTTACTTCACTCAGCGCTATATTGTTAGTTTTTATCTCTGTCGTCGCTGCCTCATTAAAATTCCACATTACACCCGAACTCCCTTTCCAATAGCGCGAGTGTGGCAAAATTCAAATTAAAGAATGTACACTTTCCATACATTACTAATAAGCTTACAATAAAATTATTACAATCTTGCTGTAAGACTGTGTTAAGAAACACTAGGAGTTAATGTAGTTAGATGATTTTAATAAAAAATATGATAATAGTGAACAGCAATTCTGATATTTGGTCTTTAGAATGTTCTGTTGCACAGTTTTAGAGAAAATCATCTACATTCATTTCGCGTTATCTAGCTAGCTTTCAACTATTTATTGTCTTAAATCGTGTGCAATTAAATTTTTTTTTGTTTTTGTTCAAGATGTTTTGGCTGCATTATATTAGGTTACATCATCAATGTATTTGCATTTATTATTTCGTAAAAGAATACACTTATATTGTGTATGTGTGTGATTTGGGTTTGCTAAAAATTCCTTAAGATTCAAATAATAAATGTTGTACATAAAAATTAAATGTCGCTTGTAATACACTTTAAAAACTTATTATGTTCAAATTAAAGTTTAATTTATCGACTTAACCTTAATAAGTTTGGTTGAAATTCTGATCTACTCCAAGATTTTATTTGAGACAATTCAACTTAATAGGTATTGCCATAACACGAACGAATTAAATAGTGAGCGTATTCTAAATGTATTCTTAGAATATGAGTCTATCGAATTATTATCAATTCAGTCAGGTGCGGCATCGATAAGCTGAATACACGGAAAATGTGTTTACAATTTATACCTACAGATGTACAGATAGTTTGTAGATATGAATGGTATGTCAGATCCGATTAAAAACATTATATTCGATTTGCCAGCCCCAAAATATTAATCGTAGAAGACATTTAATAGATACGACTGGTAGGACCTCTCGTGAGTCCGCACGGGTAGGTACCACCACCCCGCCTATTTCTGCCGTGAAGCAGTAATGCGTTTCGCTTTGAAGGGTGGGGTAGCTGTTGTAACTATACTGAGACCATAGAACCTATATCTCAAGGTGGGTGGCGCATTTACGTTGTAGATGTCTATGGGCTTCCAGTAACCACTTAACACCAGGTGGCCTGTGAGCTCATCCAACAATCTTAGCAATAAAAAAAAAGACGACAGTGAGCTCAGACGGCAACTGATGGCGGGTGCCCTTTTAAGCCTACCTTAGTACATTAAGTCGCATTCAAGTTAAAATATGGACTACCATATTTTTCAAATCGGTACCCAACTAATCGGTTGTTGTAATTTTGAAAATATTTGTAGAACAATTTTCTTGTTTCTTTAGGAACGGCAAATTCAAGAAAAATCCTCAAAGCTTCCACAACGTGAAATATCTAGAACTACTTTTCACTGGTGTCGTATTTTGTTTTCAGAGCTTCTTCAACAGCAGCGAAGCAAACGGATATCGATGGTTTCAATGGACAGTCAAGCCTCCGTCGATTCGGAAAGGAATGATGACAAATGTAAGTGTTTCGGACCAAGAACAGCTATTACATACTCATTTACAAGTACTCCGCTTGTATTGCATTGGAAGAGATATATAATGTATATCGACGCTTGAAAGGCAAACGTGACTAAGCGACAATAACGGCTTTGTATATAAATGATAGGCAATAATAACCATATTCGATACTCAAAAAAAAAAAATATTTCTAAGTCTATTAAAATCATTTCAATCCTACAGCTAGATTCGTTAAAATAGAATATTTTTCAGCTATTTCAACTTTAAATTAGTCTACTGTAAAGTTCACGCATTGTCGCTTAGTCACGTTTGCCTTTCAAACGTCGATATATATATAAATGTACATGATTACTTACATTGAGTGCCGTCACCAAATTTTATAGTGGTGATCGCACCATCCAAACCGATAGGAATAGATACCACGGTGGTCCTATCTACGTATAAATCATATGCAAATTGACATGAGTTTTTACCATCACTCTTTAAACTGTCGAATTGAGTAAAAATAAATTTGTAGAAGTCCGCATTTTGTCATCCAAGTGACTGTTTAGTTCTATACTTGTTTGTATTGGTCATAAACTTCAGAAATGAATTTTCCTCTTAAATGGTGGTAATTCCCAATGGTGTGTTGTCCTCCACAAAGGTACGGATTTAGCGTTTTTCACATTAAGCTTGGTGCAGGCGTTGTTTCTATCAAATAGTTATATGCACCCTTCATTTTGCACCAAGTATGTAAAGTTTGGGTTAAAAATTCAATTAAATAAAAAACGAACAGATGTATATTGTCTAACAAATTTTCAATCAACATAATTATCAGAGAATTTCTTCTAAGCTATTTCTTATTTTTACGGATACTTGTATATTTATTGTACTTACACTTACTTTAAGTAAATATTATCTAGGCACCATTATTATAATGAAACATTCGCTACCTATTATTGCATTATAGAATACCTTTGCTACTTTATCCCGCGTTCGCCTGTGAGTGAGTCCAAAAACAAAAATATTTGAATTTGTGAAATAAGAGAAAAGCGAAATTCGACTGATCTGTATTTTTTTTTATTGGTTAACTACTATACTTACCATAATATACGTAATTGCTATAATATAACGTTTTATAATATATTGTTATGTAGTTTTTTATAGAGTTTTATCAAAAAGCGTTTTTTTACACTTGCATTTTTTTGTAGAAAATATTATTTTCAATCACTGTGTTTTTTAAAGCTAAGAATATTCCAGAAATTCTTTCAGGTATATTTTCTGCTTCTATTGCATACATTTGCCAGCTTTTATACCAGTAGTAGCAGCTGGTAATTTTAATTTCAACACATTCATTGCTCCTCCTTCGGTTAGTACTATTGCACTATTGATTCAACAAAACGCAAAAACATCTTTGAGGTTATTATTTCCGCTTTTGTGATTTGCGATAGTCTTAAGGAAAAAAATTGCCATGACTTTTGTAAAAGTAATTTAAATGGAGAAGCTTTAAAATATTTTTTTAAATATTATTACATAACCGTGTGTGTATTACACTTTTTATTAAATTTCTTCAATGTGCAGTGTACGTTATTATTCTTATTATTGTACAAAAAAAGTATAATTTGTAAGGCATTGACTAAAAGTTTAATGTTGTATGTTTGTATTTCAATAAGTAAATGTTGATAATAATAACATACACTTGAAATGGTGAATCAGTCATAGCCAATAAACATATACGCGTATGTACATCAATTACAAGTAGTACACAGTTTTACCAAAGTTTTTCGTAAATATGACGTATGACGTAATATTTCGTATGACAGCTGTATGTGTATGTATGTGTAAGGCCAGTTTTTGTGGTTTCCGATTTTACTATTGGCTATTCAACAACTTATATGATTATTTAAATATTCCGTCTTTACCGCAGGTCTGTTAGATGGTTTCGTTCTAGTGAAGTTGCACCAATGAATTGCTTTGTAGGTCAGTACACTTTGGGCACGCTTCCAAATATTTGCAGTCATGTTTGTTTGGCTTTCATTATACACACCTTCTGGTCACATGCGTGTTTGTTCACGTGAACTATTTGCTTTACCTTGAAATGGAGTGGGACCGTCATTACATTTACAATTGTACTCAATTCGAGACGTTTGTTTTTTCTGCATTTAACAATATATTCTGATACCGAGGTGAAGAAGTTTTGAACACAAATTGATTGAAATTTGACTAAAATGTATAATAAAAATGATGAATGATAATGATTAATAAATTTTCCGAAATTTTTATCAGGAAATTTTAAAACATCATCTGACACGTTATTAATTGGATACCATACCCGAAAAACACTACAACGCGAATACCGCTGGTATTAGAGTGATTTTTATTGTCTTTGTAGACAGACGAGCATACGGCCCACATCGTATGTGGTTACCGTCATTCATTAATGTCAGCAATGCCAGCAGTATAGCCAAGTCACTGCCTACCATTACCAAATTGACCAAAGTTAGTTGTTATAGCTTTGGAATAACAGTCCTTCAAAACAAAACGCATGACCGTTTTGTTTTTGAAACGGATCAGGGTAATGATCAGTTCGTAGTTACAACTCACCAATAAGTCAAGCTTTAATTACGAAAAGAAACTTTCTTATTACTCTTCGGCCTCCGTTAGTTGTTTTTCAGTTTATTGTGGGGAAAGTTCTCGCTATGTAAACAAAGCAATCTCATGGATTGAGTCTAGAGGCTTCCTTCGGTGACAGGTTTAATGGTGAATGATTGAGTTACTGCGTGCTAGGACTCTTATTGGGTGCCATTGTTTAAACTTTGATTTAACAGCCTCCTTTCTTCCTTCAGTGCTTTTAATGTCTTTACTTGCTATATTGCTTTCGTCTTTATCGAATAATTTAATCCGAGTCCTTAACGTACGGTTAATCTGAAGTAGTTTCAAAAACCTACGTGGTTTTTGAACAGACATTTCGAATATTCTCGACCAAATAAAAACGGTGTTAATGCTGTCGAAGTCTAGAGAGGTCTATAGAGACATGACATGAGGTCAAAGTTTTTTTCAAATACTTTTTTTGTGATTTTTGTGATTTCAATTCAGCTTAGGACATTTTTAACATTGTGAAGGAATAATGCGATTTTCCCTGATTTTTAAAAGCTTTTCCAACAAATATATTTTCATATTTAAAATAATATACTACTGATGGATGTTTGTTATATAGCCATTTTGTAGTTATATAAGATAAATACGATGAGTTTATAACAAGCAAGACTATTAGTCTTCAAGTCAGTCTAATAATTACGTGCAGTATCTATTGTGTGTACCTACTTAAAAGTGATAACACATGAGTATTAGCCGTAAGTTTTGACAATCAACGCGGAGCAAGCGCTTATTAAGGTTTAGAAATATCATTCCACTAGCCGTACAAGCTCGCTTCGCTGGGCATTTAAAATTAACATTATTATTTATTGTCATTATTATTAGGGAGTCCAACACCCATATAAATATTAGCCTATCCATTAATTACATATATTTTCTACATGGATACCAAGTTACAATTCAATCGGATGCATGGTTCAGTAGTTATAACGGAACATCCGTAAAAACCACTGTAGATTTATATATTAGTATAGATAGATAAGGTTAAATAGTAATTAGTATGTTTTAATTTTCAACTTTACGAATATTTATTTCGTTTTCAGATAATTCACTGCGCGGTGTTCCCGGTGAGGTTCGTCGTTCCGGTGATAAGAAAGTGCGTAGGACAACTTGGTACTGCGAATGAAAACAATAGTCGTATTTTATTATGTGTGTGTAATTTTTTTTATTTTTTTTTATTGCTTAGATGGGTGAACGAGCTCACAGCCCACCTGGTGTTAAGTGGTTGCTGGAGCTCATAGAAGTTTACAACGTAAATGCGTCACCCACCTTGAGATAAAGTTCTAAGGTCTCAGTATAGTTACAACGGCTGACCCACCCTTCAAACCGAAACGCATTACTGCTTCACGGCAGAAATAGGCCGGTGGCAACTACCCGTGCGGATTCACAAGAGGTCCTACCACCAGAGTAAAAATAAGTAGTTTATTAAAATATCATAAATTAATTTAGTCAAAAGCGTAATTGCTTGTACAATGAATATTATAAAATTGTTGCTTAAATTGTGATTTTGTAAATTTCATCAGCAACATTTTAACTTATACATATCGTAAGTTTCAGAAAATAAAATGTTAAATTTTCAAAAAAATTACGACCAAGCTTTAAGACGACCTCGGAGTTGTTAGTTATTTGCGCGTCGAGACGAGAGTGTGATGATGGGCTTTCTAATTTTGACACTTAGACTCTAAATAGTTAGAAACAGAAAAACTTCACATCACCAAACAAAGTTACTAGCAGATATTATTAGAGGCTCACTGAAAAAAAAGTTCTAGCCAATTTCTGTTGAAGTCTCTATTTATTATGTACGTGTACTTACCGAGCTTGAAAATTTCAACTCTTTTTTTGACGAAGCTTATATTTTGGTACTTGGATTCATTAAAAAGTAATCAGTCAATACGCTGGTGAATAATGAAACATAATGAACACATTGAAACACAAGATTGAGAACCACGCTGAAGAAGTAATTACAAACAAAAAAAATATGAATTTAATTGACACCGTTACAAATAATAATAATAACAGTACTAATAATAATTAGTAAATTCCATTAAAATGTAATTAATTTCAAATTTACATCAAATTTAATGCACAATCAAATACATAATTTACAATACACAAATCATCTTAAATAAATATAACGTACATACATTCTTGGGTATGTGACGATAATAAATTTTTACAAAGTATTAAAACTTTTAGTTTACGAGAATCTATTTGTAAAATCATAATAATAATACGATCCAAAGAGATATTTTATTGATGTCGTTGTAAAGTATACGAGAGATGTTTACAAGCTTTGGCTGTTTTAAAAAAAAAAACTATTTATGAGACTAGTTAAAATGTAGGTGCTTCGCTTGCGTTCAACAACAGTATGAATTGAAGTAACTAAGTTTTTTTATTTTTTTTTATTGCTTAGATAGGTGGACGAGCTCACAGCCCACCTGGTGTTAAGTGGTTACTGGAGCCCATAGACATCTACAATGTAAATGCGCCACCCACCTTGAGATATAAGTTCTAAGGTCTCAGTATAGTTACAACGGCTGCCCCACCCTTCAAACCGAAACGCATTACTGCTTCACGGCAGAAATAGGCAGGGTGGTGGTACCTACCCGTGCGGACTCACAAGAGGTCCTACCACCAGTAATTACAGTAATTAAGTACCGAAAAATTGACATTGGTTATTTTCCTCTTTAAATTTATCATAAAATAAAATCGATTTCAATTATATGGAAGTACATAATTTTTATGAAGACAGTTTACACAAAAATGTATTAACTTATTTAGTTTTAATTGGTCTTCATAATATGATAGAGTATAATTAGTTAATTTTAATCAATACCTTGGTGGGAAATATAATTTGATTTTTAATGAAGTTAGTATCCGTTAAATAGTCATAATTTTATTATTGTTTAATAAACAATAATAATAATAATAATATATAAGGAACTTAATGTTTTTCACAAAGACCAAATATCACAAAATTGTAATATGTATTTATAAATAATTTAATAATTCGAGTGGTGCTTACGTCATTTGGAGATGTTAATTATAAAAACGTACAGATTTCTGTCTTTTTGCGTTTTAACTGTATATAATGCAGGAATGTTCCAGTACGGTTATAAATAAAATATTACCAAAGTATCACAATATAATTTTTATGATACTTTCCGAGAATGTGATAAAATTTTATTTGAAATCGAATTAGGTTTAATTTGAAAAACGCAAATTTCAGTAATTATTTCATGTATGTTATGTTATTTAGTGATAATGAGATGTATCATTTGTATATAATAACGCATATCAATTTAGTGTTAAGACGATAAGCTCACTGCTAAAGATTAATATTATTCAGATAAACAAAACAATAGAAATAAAAGTCATTATGTTAATTATTGATTTTGTGTTTCATTATCGTGTCCCTTTTCTCTTATCAAAATTTCGAGTTTATTAAAAAAGTTGAATACATACCAGAACGGTGCACATAGTATATTTCTGAACTCATCCTAAAGTTTGTTTCTTAAAGTAGTTGCAGCATGAATTTTCACTTTGCAGATGCTATGAAAATATTTTCTTGCATGAGCCCGCCTCGAATATACATCCCAGTATAAAATTTTAAAGTTTAAGACAAGTATAAACATTTTACGCTTCACATTGAGTAGTTCTAAATCCTTCAGATATATCTTACCCGCCGTAAACTGAGATCACAGTATTTCCTCTTGTCAATTACGGGCGAGCTGCATTCCTACGTGTTGTTTTTATGTGGCGGAGATAATTTCCGAGAAAAGTAGGATAGGAGATCTTCGTATTTTTATGTTTTCCAGTTTAAATCCGGCAGACTTCATTCGAGCAATCTCGTTAAAAATGGACTCATTGTCGTAAAAAAAAACAAAAAAAAACCCGTGAAATAAAGTAATGAACTATGTTCAGTGGAGATCCGCAATGCGAAAAATTACAGCCACGGCTGCGAAGTGGGGCGGAATATTCTACCTGAAGGCTAAATTTTATTGCCTCGCGCTGTTTTCGAACAATTGCATTAATAGTGTATCAAAGGCGCGCCCCGCCGGCATCTTTACGGCTGTGGAGCGGCGCGGGATACAATTAAAGTTTTAATATTTTAACGCCGTAGAATCACAGTTTGGACTAGAGCTCCACCTCTGCTAAGCTGAACCAATTAAATCCTCGAAAACGGCTCGTAATTTAAGGAAACCCTTCATGAAGCAATTTTAATGACAGCTATTTTTAAAAGCTTTATTACGTTCTTTTTGTTCTGGCAAATGCGTGGGTCTGTTCTTTTTGGTACTTTTGTTAGATTCGGTAATTAAACTGATTATAAATGGTGATACTTTATGGTAGGCAGCGGCTTGGCTCTGCCCCTGGCATTGCTGACGTCCATGAGCGACGGTGACCACTTACCATCAGGTGGGCCGTAGGCTCGTCTGCCTACAAAGGCAATAAAAAAAAAAAAAAAATATTAACTTGTCATACTTTTTATTTATTGCGGACTGAGGATGTTGTTGACGATGGGCAGATAGCCGTCAGTCATCCCGTCCAGTGTTATCTGTGTGCTTAGTGCGAGTTTCTTAACGTGCTCGATAGCGTAGAAGTTAAGCCAATTTTGTATGCAGTTGGAACAGCGCCCCTAGCGGTAAACGTACGCAAACGATCCCATTCCATACAAATATGAGCTAACTTTTACGCTATCGAGAACGTTAAATAACTCGCACTAAGCACACTAGTTATCAGAAATCACCGACTCCACAAAGTAAATGCCATTACTAATTGAATAGCTAAGGTCACCTTACCAGAACTTTCGAATTCAAACTCATTTTAGAGCATTTTAATTTTATACTAGAGAAAGAGCACACTAAATTGGATAATGACGTCAAAGATCAAGTGTGGCATACAAAGTGAAGAAGAACACTCGTTTTGCAGGGAAAAGGACTGAGCAATATCTACCGATAGCTGTAAGCACTCATGTAAGAAATAAAGTACCCTCCCGAAACTGAAATAGGAGTATTTTATACCACCAGGTTTAAGCTAATGGATATTTTAACAAGAAAATATGTCAATACTAACAATAATAAGAGAAAATTAAGGGAGAAGAGAAGTTACACATTAAACAATTCTATAGGTGTCAGTGATTGTTGTGGTGCCAGTTGCTGCAGGCGTAGTTTCGATACCTTAGGTTTCGGGAGACAAATGACTTTCGTGTTGTAATGACTACAAACCTACAAAAAAGTTAATAAATAAACCCTTCCTAACACGAACCATTCATACGGTAATTAAGAACTTAATTATAAATGTTGTTCGTCAGTAGTTGAAATTTACTGCAAACATAGTACCGGTAAAATGGGGCGATTAGGGATTGAGAGGCGAATCGGGAAAAAACCGGGAAAATCTTTCGACGCTCAATATAAGTTTTATATTCGTTGCAAAATCTTCCATTTTTTGTAGTTTAATAGTAGAATGTTGAAAGTTCACAAAACAACTCTGAATATGCATGATAATAGCTGCTAACTTATAAAAAATCGCGTTTCAAATTAACTTCCTGTGGTGGTAATTATTTTAGTGCTAGAAACTTTGCTCTCTTTTATTTATTTGATAATAATAGAAGACGACTATGATTTATAAACGTTATTTAGTGTTTGAACCAGCATATATATTAAAGGTAAGTCTCAGTTGTTATTGGTTTTAATGTATTTGATTAAATAAAAATACATGTAAAAATCTGTTGTTTTTGGGGATATTGGGGACGTCTTAGGTACAAATAACAACGAAAAAGGGGTCAATTGGGATGAGAATACGTGAAATGGAAACGACCTAAGTATAAATAGGTACAGGTTTGTAGGGTTGTCTATGTAGTTATAACAATATTTTTTAAATTTGTTGGTAAAAATCTGGTTTATTCGAAGCGAAATTGGGAATAAGTCTTTAGTTGAAATAGATAAGCAATTTAATATAAGTAAGTCGATTTTGCAGAGACATGTAACAAGATCAATGAAATCTCAAGGTGGACAAAAATGTCTAAGTAATACATAATAAAATATTTAATATTTGTTCAGAGTGGGGGTATTCATCTGATTAATCCATGGAATAACCGACACACCTAATCTCTTAACCCAGATAGAAATATCAGCACTGTCGATTGCACCTATAATTGAGGTGATGTCTGCCATGTACTTTTGTCAGTTTTTCAATTTTTTTTATTGATGATCACTTTGTTGGTGCA